ACTAAAAATACAAAAAATTAGCTGGGCATGGTGGCGCGTGCCTGTAATCCCAGCTACTCAGGAGGCTGAGGCAGGAGAATTGCCTGAACCCAGGATCTAGAGGTTGCGGTGAGCCGAGATCGCGCCATTGCACTCCAGCCTGGGTAACAAGAGCGAAACTTCGTCTCAAAAAAAAAAAAAAAAAAAAAAATGAGCACATTCCAACAAGCTCTTAACCTGGCATGTTTTAATTTAAATAAAAGGAAAAGACTTTATAAGAGCAAACCCCACTCTTACCTTAAACTGACTTTAACAGTCACAAAGGATATGGAAAACAATGATACAAATAGTATAACTCATAAGGTAAGCACTACACTAAACAATGACATTATCTCCGAACAGGACATTGTGGCCAATGGATGCAGAAAAACTTACTGGACTAGAGAAAACAGAGAAATGTTACAATTACCCCAAATCTACAACTTTTCTCCAAACTCTCACTAGACCTAGATTTGTTATCACACTTCCTGCAATATTGGTGCTTTTAGTCATGGCATTAATATTCTCCATAAAATAAATGGAAATTGTATTTCAATCCAATTTTCCTTGCCACTAACCCCATTTTTTGTTTGTTTGTTTGTTTGTTTGTTTTTGAGACAGAGTCTCACTTTGTTGCCAGGCTGGAGCGCAGTGGCGCAATATCGGCTCACTGCAATCTCCGCCTCCCAGGTTCAAGCAATTCTCCTGCCTCAGCCTCCCAGGTACCTGGGACTACAGGTGCATGCCACCATATCCAGGTAATTTTTGTATTTTTAGTAAACACAGGGTTTCACCATGTTGGCCAGCCTGGTCTCCAGCTCCTGACCTCAGGTGATCTCTGCCTGCCTTGGCCTCCCAAAATGCTGGGATTACAGGTGTGAGCCACCGCGTCTGGTCTATATTTTTAACCTCAACATCACTTCTAGCCATCACTAGGATAATTAAATACTTTACTCACTTGAGACAACATGGCTACAAATGTGGGTAGTTTCTCAACTGGTCTTATCACCTTTCTCATTCACCCTATATTAGCCATCATATTAACACACCCTTTCTCAAGATAACGACTGTATTCAAGGATTATTTAAATTCCAAAGCAAACTATTTCCAAGTTAATTTCTGTTCCCTGATCCAATCATTCTCCCTAGTAATCATTTATTGTCCTTTAATAGAATTCTTCTTCTCCCCCTCCCACAACCTGTTTTACCAGGATCCAAGCCCCCATTATTTCTGTAGCCTCAAGATGGTATATAAGGTTCTGTATGGCATTGGGAGGTTGGGTCTTTATTCTGAAGGCTCCTGTGTATACATATTAAATAAATTCGTGTGCATGCCTGTAGTCCCAGCCGCTCGGGAGGCTGAGGTGGGAGGATCACTTGAGCCTCAGGCTGCAGTGAGCCACGGCAAACTTGGGTACAATATATCCAAACCACGTTTAGGCAAAGACTTTATAGAAAATGTAGACAGATATGTCATCATAACTGAAAATTTCACTCTATGATGAAATGTAACACTAAAACAGGCTCATTTTGGACACGACAATGAAAACTGTACCAATTCCTGATCATCACAGTAGCTACAACAACCTACAAAATTCCTACTAAATTTATTGTTTGCTGGAGGTCAAAATCTTCTAGAAACTCATGGTGGTCCTGGACACCACTGGATACAAGTATTGTTTTAATAAATTACAACCAAACAAAGTGGGGACAATTAATATTCACATGTACTCACAGACTAGAGACCTATAATTTGCAATTATCTAACTCATCCTAGTATTTCTAGTATTTGAACCATTTGCAAGCACATACAAAACAACAGAGATTATAAGCACTTCCTTTTTTTTTTTTTTAATTTTTGAGATGGAATCTTGCTCTTTCACCCAGGCTGGTGTGTAGTGTCGCAATCTCTGCTCACTGCGGCCTCTGCCTCCTCAGTTCAAGTGATTCTCTTGCTTCAGTCTCCCAAGTAGCTGGGATTACAGGTGTGCACCACCACACTAGGCTAATGTTTGTATTTTTAGTAGACATGGGGTTTCACCAGGTTGGTTTCGATCTCCTGACCTCATGATCTGCCCACCTCAGCCTCCCAAAATGCTGGGATTACAGACGTGAGCCACTGTGCCCAGTCTTATTAGCACATTCTTTACATAAAAAGAAACAAGAAATAAGACTATATTAGACAAATTTACTAGAAAAAGAAAATAGATACAAAATCAAGTTGTTTTTCCAATGTGCCCAATGGAAATTCAGAATAATCCAAATTTTCATTTCAAAGATGTAGAGACAGCATACAATTTAAATCAATTGACTGGTGGGAAAAACTAGGAACTAAAGTAAATATGTATAAAGTCACAAAAAACAGACTCAGGTATGTCAAATTAGTTTTTCTCCATGAACCAACCATCCAGTGGGTCATGGAATAAGGTTACATGGTCACCTCAACTCCCTATTTACCAAAATATAACAAGACTAGACTCCACGTATCTATATTTATAGCTAAAGACATCTCTTTTTTTTTTTTTTTTTTTTGGAGACGGAGTTTCCCTCTTTTTACCCTGGTTGGAGTGCAATGGCGATCTCGGCTCACCGCAACCTCCGCCTCCTGGGTTCAGGCAAGTCTCCTGCCTCAGCCTCCTGAGTAGCTGGGACTACAGGCACGCGCCACCATGCCCAGCTAATTTTTTGTAGTTTTAATAGAGACGGGGTTTCACCATATTGACCAGGATGGTCTCGATCTCTTGACCTCGTGATCCACCCGCCTCGGCCTCCCAAAGTGCTGGGATTACAGGCTTGAGCCACCGCGCCCGACCTAAGGCATCTCTTTTATAAAATCCAGCGTTAAATGATGGGACCCTGGACCTTGCGTAATTGACAGAGGGTGCTGGAATGAGACATATTGCTTAAGGACACATCACTGGAAACCACAGTGGACCAAAGGAATAACAAACCCTCCACCTAAATTTTTAGAACCCATTCTAATTATCCTATTAAGATTAATTTACAAATCAACATCTAGGAGAGTCAAAATATTTTTGATAAAAGAACAGTTTAAAGTCACATATATTCATGCACAGCGTATACAGTTCTAGAAACAAGGATATGACAAACAGCTCATTTTACCAAACTTATCACCACAAGTATTATTTAAGAAAACTGCTATAAATATTCGCAGCAATTTGAATAATTTCAAACTAGTCATTTCAGCAGTACAAGAAGCAGAAATTCAGGAAGTTAAAATAGTCCTATTTGATTTCAAACACTGGAAAACACAGATGTGTGTGGACCTGGTTCTATCTGTTCATGTAGAGTGTGTGATAACACAGACTCAGGCTAGATATCTGAAAAAGGTACCCAGAGAGAAACAAAACTTTGGAAAACAATAACAAGTTAGGTGTATAGGCTCATAGTATGATACAATGTTAAGAAGATACAAGTTAAATGTGATTTAGGAGGTTTTCATTATTAAAATATTTTTCACAGGCTTCCCAATTTTTTAAAAAATGGGCGATAAAAATTTTAGAATAAAAACTAAAAGCAGCTATAAAAGACATTTTAAGGACAATTAGGGAAAATTCTAATGTAGACTAGCATATGATAGATATTAATGTCAATTTTCTTAGGTGTGGCATGGAGTAATGTCATGTCTGCAACTTACAAGTGGGGAGGACAGTTTTACAGATTTCAACTTTCAAATGGAATAGGGAATGTATACCTATCTCTATCATCTATCTATCATCTATCATCTATCTATCTATCTATCTATCTACCTACCTACCTACCTACCTACCTACCTTGCAAGAGACAGAGAGACAGAATGTGACAAAATATTAACCGGTGTTGATTGCAGGTAAAGAGAAACCGGGGTTGGTTGTGGCATTATTTCAATTATCTCGACTTATTTAAAAAACGAAACGATAGATGCTGTGGTGAGAAATAAATCAGAGAAGTGATTTCTTTCCATAGCGACAATTACCAAGCGTTGTTAAGGAGGTAAGACCCGCCCAGACCCTCCCCTCTAGGCAACAGGTGCCATTCTAATGACCTTCAGACACCTAGGGAGGCTTTTCGAAGCCTATGATATAATTTTAAGACCAGGTATTTTTGGCATACCCAAGCCCATCTTTTTGGATCGTTTTGTGCTGCTGGCATTCTTTCACGGTTCTTAAGATACCGTGAATAAACATATTGACTACATAGCCAATGCTGATAAACCATAGTAGATAGAGTTCATCTCAGGTAACTACTCTACAAAACGAGGATATCAGATGCATTCTAACCTTTGTTTAAAAGTCAAGTCACAGCTATCTCTAGGAACACTGCCGATGAGTTAACCTGGCTCCACCAGAAAGATTTGGTTTTTTAAAAAACTTGCTTCCCTGACCGGGAATCGAACCCGGGCCGCGGCGGTGAGAGCGCCGAATCCTAACCACTAGACCACCAGGGAAGACGCGACAACTACGATGGCAACATCCCATACTAAGTAAACATGCTGTGACGTGTATCGTATACAGACGTATGATTGGATGCCTTTTTCTCGCGACATTTGTGAAGATGCTGACAGCGCTTCCCTCTCCTTGGTAGGTAGCCCTCTCGCTGCCGCAAATAGGAAAAACCGGGCAGCAAAGACGAGTAAAGTCCAGTTGTAACCGTGTTCTTGGAGAAGGCAATAAAATACCAGCGGGCTCTAGGAAAATTCTAGGGCTTCTTAAGGGGAAGAAAATATTAATAAAACGACTGTGTCAGAAGTGGGATTCGAACCCACGCCTCCATCCGGAGACCAGAACGCCCATAGGGAAGGTTCTCACCTTGAGTCTGGCGCCTTAGACCACTCGGCCATCCTGACACTCGAAAGCGACGAGCCTCTCACTTCTTCTAATGTCTGTGTTCCCGACGCCTGCCCGCCGCGACACACCAGCGACGTGGCTGTGGGGCATTCTCCTGACTGGATGCGACGCTACAGCGCCTCCAGTTCCCCGCGGAGCTCTGGACAAGGCCGCGACTGCAGCGCAGCCTGGAGTGGCCCGGAGCGCTCTACCCGCCAGAACCGAGGCTAAGGGCCGTGGGTTGTGCGCGTGCGCCAGCGCCCGGCCCCGCAAACGCCGGGAAATGCGTGAGGAAGGCGAAGCAAACGCTGCCGCCGCACGTTCCGGCCCTCGCAGGGGAAACTCCGGCAGTAGTTGCTACTTGGAAAGTAGCTGGAAAAACGCTTGTCACAGAGTGACAATGGACGCTTTTGTTTTCTTCATTATCGTCATTAGTATAGCGGCTTTCTGCTTCATGGTTCCCGCCGATACCCTTCCCTCAAGGCCCACCGCTTCCTCCACGAAGCCACGCAGCTGCGGTCGGCGCGGACGGCCGGTGGGACGTGCGGAAAGTCAGGTTCCGTTTACACCGCAGTAACCAGCCGGAAACAGCCCCGCGCTTCAGCATCCCACGGGAAGGCCCGCGACGCGCACCGCAGAGTGTGTTTCACGTAGCACGAGGCTCTCTGGATTCACCCATGTTGTCACAAATAACAGAATTTTATTAACCATTCATCCTTGATGAGTATTATGGTTGTTTCCACATCTTACCCGTTGTGAAAATGCTGCAGCAAACATGAGTGCAGACGTCTCTTCAACATAATGATTTCAGCTACTTTGGATATATACCCAGTAGTGGGAGTGCTGGATCGTATGGTAATTTTGTTTAAGTTTTATGAGGAGCTTCCATACCGTTTTCTATAATAGCTGTACTAATTTACATTCCCACCAACTGTGCAAGAGCTCCCTTTTCTCCTCATCCTCACCAATGCTAGCTATCTGTCATCTATCTGATAAAAGCCTTTCTAACAGATGGACGGTAATACCTTTTTTTTTTTTTTTTTTT